TCCTTCATAAAAACTGGAAGAATAACACTGAGAAAAAGTGTCAAAATAAAGTTTTCATGTACTTTGTAAACTGACCAAAGGCTTGTAACAATCTGAGGAAAAAAATTATTTTTAAAGAATTATTTTATTGAACTTTATTTATTTTAATTTGACCAGAGAGGGACAGAGAGAGAGAGAAAGTGAGAAAGCAAGCTGCCAGGTCCAGGACTTGAACTGCAGTCAGCGATGTGCGAGTCCAGCACTCTTAACTACCAGACCACCAGCAGACTCCCTGAGAAAAATTTATTAAAAAAAATCTCTGGGGACCAGCAGTTAGCGTAATGCTATGTCACTGGACTCCCATGTAGTCGACTGCAGTTTGAGTCCCGGGCCTGGTGGCTTAAACTCATGCCGAGTGCGTATGCATGTGTGCCCAAGATCCCGAGAGGAGAATGGAGGAGAAGGGATTGCAGCATGGCCACTCCCCCGGGGGATGATGTCTCGCTTTCTGTCTCTCTCTGTCTCTCTGGCAAGCACACACACCCTATAGCGAAAACCTCTCCAAAAAAAGAGAAAAATTTCTGAACCTGTATAAGAATAGTAGAATTTGTGGATTTTTAAAATCTGACCAACTCCATCCTTTTTACTTCAGTTCCAAAGTAGTCATGAAAACCAGCATCCATGAAATCAGGGTGCCAGGAAAACTAGCAGTCTTCCTGCCATTAGAAAGAGGCAAACCAGAAGGCAAACCAGCAGAAAGCATAACAGTTACATTGCTGGACTCCCATGTAGTTGAATGCAGTTCGAGTCCTGGACACAGTGGCTTAAATCTCACACTGAGGCACCAGCAGATGGCATAATGTTTACGTTGCTGGACTCCTACATAGTCAACTGCGGTTTGAGTCCTAGACCTGGGTGCTTAAAACTCACACCAAGCGTGTGTGTGTATGTGTGCCCAAAATCCCATGAGAAGAGAAGAGAAGGGACTGCAACATGGCCATTCCTCCCGGGGGGTTAGTTCTTGTTTTCTGTCTCTCGAGTGAACACATATGCCCTATAGCAAAAAAAAAAGAACAAACAAACAAACAAACATAACACCTCACACTAGGTGCATGCCCATGCATGCCCGAAATTCCAAGAGGAGAATGGAGGAGAAGGGATTGCAGCATGGCCATCCCCCCAGGGGGTGATTTCTTACTTTCTGTCTTTCTCTCTCCATCAAGAGCACGTACCCTATAGTATAAACCTCTTAAAAAAAAAAAAAAAAAAAAAAAAAGGAAGAAAGAAGCAAACCAAAAGCAGGCAAAGGCATAATGAAAAAGAAAACCTCAGACTAATATCCCTGATGAACACAGATGCTAAAATCCTAGCAAACCAAATCCAACAGTATATTAAAAAGATCATACACCATGACTAGATAGGAGTTATCCTAGGGATGTAAGGATGATTCGTTATAGGCAAAACAATATACATAATATAGCACATTAACAGAAAGAAAGAGAAACATTATATGATCATTATCAATAGATGCTGAAAAAGCATTCAATAAAATACAACATCCATTCGTGATCAATATGCTCAGCAAAATAGGTATAGAAGGGATACTTCTCAACATAATAAGTCATATATGACAGATTCACTGCTAATATCATATACTACATGAGGAAAAGCTAAAAGATTTCTGGCTAAAAGCCAAAATAAGACAAAGCTGCTTATTTTCCCCACTGTTATTCAACATAGTGCTGAAAGTCCTAGCCAACACAATCAGACAAGAGAACAAAATAAAAGACATTTAGATAGGAAAAGAGAAGTTTAAACTATCCCTATCTGCAGATGATGTGATTATACACATCAAAAATCCAAATGAAGCTATGAAAAAACTCATGAAAGTTATAAATAAACTCTGTAAAACAGCAGAATACAAAACAATATACAAAAATGTATACCATTTTTATATGCCAACAATGAACAGACTGAGACAGAACTGAAGAAAGTAATTCCCTTTAAAAAATAAAAACAAACAACAACAAAAACCTGGAAATAAACTTAACCAAAGAGGAGGTGAAAGACCTCTACAAGGAAAATGATGAAAAACTGAAAAAAGAATTAGAGCATGATACAAAAAAATTGAGTTATGTGGTGTTCCAGGATTGGAAGAATAAATATAATCAAATATCAGTCTTACAAATTAATTTACATGTTCAGTACCATGCTGACCAAATTACAAAGGCCATTCTTCATATAAATAGAAAAAAAACATGGGGGCCAGCAGGTGGCATAGTGGTTAAGGTGGCTGAACTCCCACATGGCTGACCATGGTTCAAGTCCAAAACCTGGCAGCTTGCTTTTTCACTTTACTTCTCTCCCTCTGTCTCTCTGATCAACTTCAAAAAAAAAAAATAAAAAATAAAAATAATGACAATTAATAAAATTTCAAAAAAAAAGAAAAAACAGGAATAAAATTTGTCTGAAACCATAAAAGACCCCAAAAAATGACCGCCAAAAGACTGCCAAAGCAATACTTTGCAAAAAGAATAAAGTAAGGGTGGGACCAGCAGTTAGCATAATGGCTATGTCGCTGGACTCCCATGTAGTCGACCGCAGTTTGTGTCCCAGACCCAGTGGCTTAAAACTCATGCCGGGCACGTGTGCGTGCGTGCCCAAGATCACAAGAGGAGAATGGAGGAGAAGGGATTGCGGCGTGACCATCCCCTCTGGGGGGTGATTTCTCGCTTTCTGTCTCTCTGTCTCTCTCTGTCTGTCCGGCGAGCACACGCGCCCTATAGAGAAAACCTCTAAGAAAAAAGATTAAAGTAGTGGGTAGCTCACTGCCTGCCAATATATTACAAAGTGGTGATAAAATGGCATGCTAGTAGCACAAAATATATATATATGTATACCAATGGAACAGAATGATGAGTCCAGAAATAAACCTCAAATCATACAGCCAACTGATTTTTGACAAAGGATACAAGACAATACAGTGGGGAAAAGAAAGTGTTCAGCAAATGGTGCTAGAAGAATTGGATATCCACCTGCAGAGAAATGAAACTGAACCCTATCTCTCACCATTAACAAAAATCAACTCCAATTTTAAATGTATACCTCAGGGGCCAGCAGGTAGTGTGGTGGTTAAGGTGCTGGACTCCCACATGGTCGATTATGGTTCAAGTCCCAGATCTGGCAGCTTGTTTCTCATTCTCGCTACCTTGCTCTCTTGCTATCTCCCTCTTTCTCTCTGGTCAAATTGAAGAATAATAATAAGTAATATTAAATAAATAATTTTTTTAAAGTAATACCTCAAACTATAAAACTATTGGTAGAAAACTTTTCTTGAAGATGTTGGAGGAAACAAATATTTCTTAAATAAGATCCCTAAAGCCTAGGCAACAATAGACAACTGAGATACACCAAGCTAAAATGCTTACACACAACAAAGGAAACAGCAATTAGAGTGAAGAGACAACGCTCATAATGAGAGAAAAATTTTGCAAATCATGATTCAGACAAGGGATTGATAGTCAGAATATAGAGGTAACCCAAGTAGCTCACCTGTAAAAAAAATAATAATCCAATTTAAAATGGGCAAATGTACTGAAGAGAACTCTCCAAGGAAGACATATGAATAACCAAAATTCATATGAAAAAATATTCAACATCTCTTATCAAATCAAAACTACAATGAGATACAATTTAACCCTAATCAGAATGTTTATGATCAAAAAATAAACAAACAAAAAAAAAAACAAAAAACAAAGAACTACAAGTGCTGGCAAGGCTGTGATGGAAAAGGAACTCTCTTACACTGTTGCAGGGAATGTAAATTAATACAACCTCTGTGGAAACAATATGGCAAAGCCTCAAACTTATAAATAGAAGTACCCTATGACTCAATAATCCCACCCTTACATATACAAAGTTGGAGAGACACCTGCAGGTGTTTATTGTAGCAATGTTTATTGTAGCAATGTTTATTGTAGCATTATTCACAATTGTTAAGATATGGAACCTATCTAAGTGCCCAAGAACTTTTGACTAGATTGAAAATCTGGCAGGACCAGCAGCTGGCATAATGGCTATGTTGCTGAGCTCCCATGTAGTCGACTGTGGTTCGAGTCCCGGACCTGGCAACTTAAACTCACGCCAGGCGTATGCGCATACATGCCCAAGATCCCGAGAGGAGAATGGAGGGATTGCAGCATGGCCATCCCCCTCCTGGGGTGTGTGTGTGTGTGTGATTTCTTGCTTTCTGTCTCTCTGTCTCTCTCTGTCTTTCTGGCGAGCACACGCGCCCTATAGCAAAAAAAAAAAAAAAGCCTCTCCGAAAAGAAAAAGAAAAACTGTAGTGCATGTGTACTATGGAATACTATTCAGCCATAAGGAAAAATGAGGCCCAATCCTTTGATTCAAAGTGAATGAATAGGGTCATGATGGGCAGCAAGATGGCGTCTGCCAGCAGGGTCGTGCAGGTAGTGAAGCCACATACACTATTAATAAGATTTCCTAACAGAAGAGACAATCTTAAACCCAACACATAAGAAGCTTTGAGATCAGCAGGGTTACCATCCGTTGTTCTATAGTTTCACAGCATAAAGGAAGTAAATCACCAGATTTGCTGAGGTATCAGGGTTCACCAGACATGACAGAAATAATAAAAACTTTACTGCAGAAATACAGAAGGAACCTGGTGTCTCAGGAAGAAATTGCATTTATCCAACGTGGTGATCCAGAGTAATCACTATGGCTGCTGTTTTCTTCAGACAGAAGAATTGTCTTTGCAATAAAGGACTTTCATAATAACAAATGAGAAACTGTATATTTAACAATTTACTTTAATAAATATTCTGTAAAAAAAGAAACACAGAATTTTTTTTTTAAAAAAGTGGATGAATATAGAAGATTTACTGCTAAGTGAAGTGTGGTAAGCAGTTAGCTAGAAGTTAGCAGAGTCCTAAGAAAACAGCATCGTAAGGACATGAGTCACATCAATCAGAACTTATCAAGAGTTAAAACTAGACCCTCTGCAGAGATTCTTTTTTCCCATCCAGCTCCTGGCACAAGGAATGTGAGGCAAATCCCAGTTTTCTTCTTTAGTGCCTAAGAAAAGAACATAGGGAAAGTTGTTAATTTCCTCCCTATCATTCCTCATAAATACAACGGGACACAACAAGCTGTTTTGGTCAACTTCCTGACTCCCACTGGCGCATTAAACTGGTTGGGAAGTTCATAAAAATAAAGATGCTCATATCTTCCAAGTCCACACTGAGCATGCAGGATTAGGTAATCAAATTCCTCACCTGTGAAAAAGATACACAAACACAAAAAGGCTGCAAATTCAAACAAAGAAGCCAGATACTATTGCAGACCTTCCCCTGCTAAATATTCATTATCAACTCTTAACATAAATTTAACAGCTAACCCCATGCCCAGTGCAGTTGTCCTTCGCTGGCAGCTGCCCATCTGTGTGCCTTTGAGGCACGGAGGTATACTTCTTTTCTATTAAAAATCTCACTTTCCTATTAAAACTTTCCTTTTCTAAGTGTTCGTGTGTTTCATTTTACATCTCAAAATGGGTCTCTAACTTTAGAGATCTAGACCTAAGAAACCTAAGATTTTACGTAACACAGCTCAACACTCTCCTATCCTAGAACAGAAATAAGCCAGAGTCTGAAAGTCACACACTGTATATCCCCGCACATTATACACCGAATGTTTCCATTCTATAGCAGAAACTAAAAGATCTGAAGATGTGATGGTAGAGAGGGTAAGTGTGGAAACCAGCGACTGTATAGGAGGGGAATATATGAAAGAAGGTCAGTGGGAGGAAAAAAATGGAAGGAACATTTAATAGAAAATAGAACACAATTTCTCTGTTGGAAATGATGCATATTACAATACCCTTGATTTGAATGTCATGGATTGCATGCATGTTAAAAAACCATATTGTGTTATAGAGGTGTACAATGATTGATTTAAAAAATAAAAAAGAAAGATAAAGAAAACACAAAGGGGCAAACCAAGGGATTAAAATAAATCCCATCTACAGAGCATTTTTCTTATTTGACATTTACTTAGCTATTTGAAAAGTTCTATTTACAGGACACTGTTGTTATTTGAAATGACTCAGAGATTGTTCTGTGGGAAAATCCTTACCCACAGGGCATTTGTAGAAAACAAATAACTGCTGAGAGGCCAGTAAAATGCAACAGTGTAGAGACTGGCCAACATGGAAAGGTTCTAAATTCATGTCCAGAGACCTCCCTGAACGCACCGCGCACATGCGTGTCCATAATCTGGGGCCAGTTGAAACTAGGGGTGGATCATGGCATCGAGACCCTACGGCGGTACTCTCTCTCTGCCTCTGTTTCTGTATCTTTCTCTCATAGAAGATATAAATAAATTTAAAACAATCAACTTCCATATTAAACACAGAAGGAAGATATATTTTCAAAAGGCCTTTGAAAAGTTCTGAAATATTTCTGAAGACCTGGAAGACCATGAGCATGTTCAAGGCTATACAAATGTCCAGGAAAGACTCCAAAGAGCCCCAGCTGCTCACCTCTGGCTGGCCTTGAGACACTGTAGAAACTGGAAGCAAAGCTTAGGCCAGACTGGTAAACTGTCTGATCACCAAAAGAGTGCTTCAACACACACAGAAGTCCTTGGCAAACAATGGAAGACTTACTGGTTCAAAGAATTCAAAGAAATCTCAAAACAGTCACTAGCTCATTACAAAACCCTCTTAGTAGAGAATTCAAGTGTAGACTGTACTAGTTTTACAGGATTGCCATAACCAAGTACCCAAAACTGGGTAAAATGATAGAAATTTATTATCTCACTGTTTTGGAGACTTGAAGTCCAGTATTAATATGTCAGGAAGGCTATAATTTCTGATGGGTAAAATGAGAATAATTTTCTGAGCTGTTTTTAGATTCTGGTGATTTCCAGCTCTGCTTGGCATTTCTTCTTAGTAGATGCATCATTATAGTCGCATGGTTTTTTTTTTTTTCTCTCTGTGGGTCTTCATGCATCTCCCTCTGTCCCTTTCTATGTGTACAAATTTCCATTTTTATGAGGATACCAGTCATATCGGATTAAGGTTCCCATAATTACCTCATTTTTAACCTGATTAGCTCTGCAAAGATTCTGTTTCCAAGTAAGATAATACTCTGAGGTATTGGAGGTTAGGATTTTTACGTATCTTTTATGCATATCTATATCTGTATGTATTATTTACATTTAATCACTATATATCTTTGCAGTGTACAATATGGTTTTTCTCAGCATGAATATAGTGCATATCATTTGAGACAAAGACATTACCATATACTTTATCATCAGCAAATAACTTTTCAGTTTTGTGTCAATTAAGTGTAGCTTGCTTTTTTTCCCTGTTCCCCTCTCTCTTCTCCTATACATCACCCCCTAGTACTCCTCCCTTACTATCTCTAGTATCTACAGTTGTCTTCCCTTACATATCTTTTTAAGTAAACACAATTCAACCTGCAATATGAACTAGTCCAAGAAAGTAATCACACACACATGAAAGCAAGAACAACAATAACAAAGCTGGGAAGGAGGGACCTGATTTTCAGAATTACCATATTATATTATTTTAAAATGTACTATTTTCAAAAAAACTTGTGTGACTCATAACAGGAAAGCATGAACCATACACAGGAAATAAGCAGTCAATAGAAATTGTCCATAAACGAGCGTAGTGGCATAGTGGTTAAGATTCTGGATCCCAACATGGACCACTGTGGTTCAAGTCCCAGACCCAGTGACATGAAACTCACCCCAGGCACATGTATGTGCATGCCCCAAATCCTGAGAAAAGAATGAGGGAAAAGGGATTGCTACATGGCCATCCCCCTTGAGGGTGATTTCTCACTTTCTTTCTTCTACCTCTCTATCTCTAGTAAGCACATGAGCACTATAACACAAACCTCTCTGGGTAAAAAAAAAAAAAAAAAAAAAAAAACGGAAAAGAAAAAAAAATGCCCATAAAGAAGCCCAAATGTTGGACATACCAGAGAAATGTTTTAAGTCAGCTATTACAAACATGTTCCAAGAATTAAATGTAGCACAGTGGTTGAGTGTTATGCTTAGGCATGAGATCCCACATGGATGACAATGGTTCAAGTCTCAGCCCTGGCAGATTAAAGGACATACCTGGCATAATTGTGTATATGCCTGGAGTCATTACAGAATAAAGAAGGAAGAGGGATTGTGATGTGACAAAGGGAGATTGTGGTGTGACCATGCCTTATTTTGGATTTCTCACTCTTTCTCTCATGAATACATGTACCCTCTGACAACAAAAAATTAAAAAGTTTTTCTTTTTAAAAGAACTAAAGGAAATCAAGGGGGAAAAGTGAAATATAACAGAGCAGGGGAGAGTGTTGCTTTCTCTCTCTCTCTCTCTCACTGAATTTAAAATATTAGTAAAGAGGCATAAATTATAAAAAAGAATCAAATCAAATTTCCAGAATTGAAAAGTACAATAACTGAAAGAAAAAATTCACTAGAGGGGCTCAACAGCAGATTTGAATTTAAAAAGAATGAGTGAACTTGAAAATGTATCAAGATTATCCACTCTGAGAAAAATAAAGAAAAAATAATGAAAAAATAATAAAAAAAACTTCTGCGACCTGTGTAATACCATCAAACATACCAACATGCATATGATAGGAATGCCCAAGGGAATGGAGAGAAAGGGACAGAAAGAGGATTTGAGAAAGTAATGACTGAAATATTTCCAAAATTGATGAAGAACAAACTAATTCTGCTATGGTTTAAATATGTTCCCTCAAAACTCATGTGTTAAAATTTGGTGTGCCATTGTATCAGTGTTGGGAAGGTCGAGACTTAATACAATTGTATGAGATTAAGAGGTAGAGCCTTTGGGAGGTGATTAGGATAAGGTCCTAATCAGATTGGGTCCCCCAGGGTTGAATTCTGGTGGGTTTACAAGTGGAAGAAATGAGACAGAGACACATGGACAAAGACATGTACACTAGACAGAAGAGACATTTTATAATGATCAACTCAGCAG